GTCGCTCGCCTCCGGTGTCAGCACAGCTACGTCGCCATATCTTCCGGTGCGTCCACTCCCATGCGTTGTTGGCTTCTTCGTTGCTAACTCACGTTCTCTGCAGATGGTAGCGTTTTCGTTGACCTCACGTCTTCACCATGCTCTTCTCCACGTTCTGCCGCGCATGACGGCCCTGACACAGTGTCGACCGTCGAGCTGGCTGATCTTTCGCTTGACCTTGCTGGAGTGCGGGCCTCGTTGAGTGCATTGCAGCAGGTCATCGACCAGACCGAGGCACTGCGCGAGCTTCGTTCGGATTATGAGGTTCTGCGCCGCGAATTTTTGGCCACGCTACGTCGCGCGGACGATATGGATCGTCAGCTAGTTGACGCGGCCAATGCCGCGTCGCCCTTCGTGCTGTTTTGCCAGCACAAGTACGAAGTGGTCCATCACCAGCTGGACTCTACTCGGAAGGAGCTCGCCGACTGCTTGAACGCGCTGCAGGAGCATCTGGACAACTCCCGCGAGCTTGAGGCTTACCGTCTTCGGTACCATGATCTGCAGCTCCGCTACCGCGAAGCAGTGTCCGAGTTCCAAGATCGGATCTCTACCTTGGAGGCGCAACTGGCCACCGCCTCTTCTTTTGGCGTTATTGTCCCGCATGCCACGGCTCATCGCATAGCGGAATGGAGTCCCAGCTCGCGCGGTCCCAATCTGACTTACAAGTCGCGCGTGATCGCTAGTCTTCTCTCGGTTCGGAGCTTTGTGAATCAACTACGTCTCACAAGGCCGCTCAAGCGGACGTAGATCGCCTCGAGGCCGCGATCGAGCGCAAGACTCGTCGCTAACGCACTTTGCGTGACAACTATGAGCATCGCTTGAAGGTTGTCGACACCACGATCGCCACACACTTCGCCGAGCTTGATCGTTTACAGGATCGGGTATCGACACTGGATCAGGATCTCCAGAGGCTTCCCAGCATGTCCAGGTGGCGATTTCTCAGCGCGATCAAGCCAGGGCAGAGCGTATCGCTACCCGTGAGTACTATCTGCATACCTTTGTCGGCGTCGTACTAATTCGTGTTTTGTGTCACAGAGGATCGTGTCTCAGCGGCTCGAGATACTATCGCCCGGCTGGAAATGCGGAATAACCAAGTCGAGAAGACTCAGAAATCGCGTCAGGATCTCGAGCTCGAACTCGCAGCGCTTCAGGGAGAGAGACAATCTGGTAGGCAAAAGCGATGAATTGCTCGGCCAGCTTGGTGAGCGCTTCATGGAGGTCACCGATCTACGGGCTGAGCGGGACCAGGCGCAAGAGAGATTGTCCAACATCGCGCCCCTTCTCCCTTCTGCGCCGAGCCACAAGCGAGCACGCTCTGAGTCCGAGTCTCCAGCCCAGTCTGCCCGCGTCTCCAAGGCTGCTCGATCGGCTTCAGGTCTCTTCCCGGCTGGCGCTTTGAGTCAGGGCTCTGCGTCTACATCTTCGATCGAGGTATTGTCTGCCGTGGCCGCCGGCCCGAAGTCCGCAGGTCCGGCATTGTCTCCTCCGTTCGCTGGACCTCCTGATCATCTTCCTCGATCTGCTCGATCGACCATCAAGGGTGGCGACGGGGGTGCTTCGTCTTCGCCTGCAGCTTCCGATGTGGGCGCGCATTCCGACAGTGGCGAG